GTTTTAGAGTTATAGTGCCCATTGTACTAGATAAGGAAGTGAACATAATATACCCGTGGTAGGGTTTTCTGTGCTTTAAAACAGGTATGTACGTAGTTCACATATGTACCAAATACAGAAAAAGAATTGTTATGAAATTTTCTAACATACAAATTCTTTTACAGCTGAGAAGTTTCTTGAATCTGTAGAAGGAAACCAGAATTACCCACTGTTGCTTTTAACATTATTGGAAAAGTCTCAAGACAATGTCATCAAAGTGTGTGCCTCTGTAACATTCAAGAACTATATTAAAAGGAATTGGAGAATTGTAGGTATTTTGTTAATACCCTATATGCTTATAAGCTTTCCATAAGTAGTGTTCCTAAAAAATTGCATAGGTAAAATTAAACAGAATCTATTCCAAAACTCTTGTTATTTAACTTGTGGAGTGTATGACTGGGTTTAGCTTCTTTATGGGTTGATACTTAACCCTAGCTCTCACTAGTGAGGAGATTCTGTGTTCAAAAATACAAGCTACATGGATAATTGTAGTAATTTGTGCACTGGGCAAAAGGAAATTATAGACAATTTGCATTGCAAAGAAATTTTTTTATATATAGAAATTTTTATAGCCTGCAAAATAATTTCAGATTTGTAGTTTTGATCATGGACTGTGCCATCTCTTAAGGGATATGGAAATAGAATTACATTTCAAGATAATTCGTACTTTGCTACAAATATGATGATTGGGAGAAATTTTTAAATTAAGAAACAGGCATCTTCCAGAACAAGGGATCTTAATCAGGAGTGATTTTACCACCACTACCACCACCCCCAGCCCAGTCACCAGACATTCAATAATATTAAATTATTTAAGGACATTTTTGTTGGGAGAAGGAGGGGTACTACTGGCATCTAATGGGAAGAGACTATTGAAACTGCTAACCATTCTACCAGGCACCCCCACCACCAATAAAGAATTATTTGGCCAAAATGTCAGTAGTACTGGTTTTGAGAAAACCTGGCTTAAGATAAAGATACTGTAGACATTTATTAAGATAGGCAAAAATGATAACTTTTCCTAAAATGTTAACTTTAAACTTACTTAGCTATTTTGTTTATAGTCTTGCTCCATCCTTTTCAGTACATGTACACATACAGCAAATATACAGGGTTTTCACAAAGTTTGTTGGGAAATCAAATGACCTTTTAATTAACACACAATGTACCCATGGTAGGCTTTTTGAAGCTTTCCTGTTTTGTTTTGAAGTGTATATAGTTATCTCACAACATGTTTAAAAACATGAGTTAGTCAGTCTTAGAAAGTACAGCCCTCTACTGTAGGCATGCTAGTTTTATCTCTATCTTAATTTGTAAAACTTTTAAGACTTCTAAAACCTTTTTGGGTAATGTATTCCTGGGAGCATTCTAACCCATAATGATCCAGAATTATTCATAAAAAAGATCTCTGGCTCAAGGAGAGTATAGATTGAAGCTTTTGAAGATGGGGGTTAAGTGACATGAGTTTATAAAAAATTTAGGTAGATGTTCTAATAATATTTACAAGTAGAATTGTGATTCTAATTTGTAAAACATTTGCATTTGGGGGTTAGGGAAGTGAAATCTTTGTAGAAAGGAGATTTATGCTTTAGTCAAATTATTGAAAGAATCCGCAACCCACTTATATAGAGGGAAACTAAGGAAAGATCACATGAACGTCTTTTACTTATCTTCTTATTTCCTTTTTGAATTGTAAACCATAATAGATTTTTCTTAGATAATTGGGAGGGAAACGATCTTGTTACCTATAAGCCCAATCCCATAGGCCTGGATATAAATGTTATGTTACTTGTTCATTCATGTTTTTACCTTCAGGTTGAAGATGAACCAAACAAAATATGTGAAGCTGACCGAGTAGCTATTAAAGCCAATATTGTGCACTTGATGCTTAGCAGCCCAGAGCAGATGCAGAAGCAGGTACCACACAGTTCTACTTTTTGTTTTTTTACAGTTCTCCTTTTTAAAGTAGGCTTATTTGTAGCACTTTCATCTCATTAATCCTTATCTCCCCTTCTGCCACCCGACCCCCACCCCCCAGCTAAGTGATGCCATTAGCATTATTGGCAGAGAAGATTTCCCTCAGAAATGGCCTGACCTGTTGACGGAAATGGTGAATCGCTTTCAGAGTGGAGATTTCCATGTTATTAATGGTGTCCTTCGAACAGCACATTCACTGTTTAAAAGGTAATGATGTACAGATTGAGACTTTTCTAATATATTTGGTTTTGTGAACTTTGTGACTACTGTCACCCTTTCAATTACAGTCATCCTACACTAAGAACGTGAACAATCTTCAGTTCATTGTATTGTTTCTTCTCGGCCTTTTCCATATTGCCCGGGTAACTATAATATAGTCAACCAGTCGCCATCAAGGCGGTTATGACTCCTGGCAACCCCATGTGTCTCGCAGCAGAGCTGTATTCCATAGGGTTACCTAGAAAATTCCTGATCTTCATAAGCTGTTTGATTCTCTGCAGGTGGGAAACACCAGGAATTCTCATTGAAATTTTACCTATTTTACCTTGTCTAGATATCGCCACGAATTTAAGTCAAACGAGTTATGGACTGAAATCAAACTTGTTCTAGATGCCTTTGCTTTGCCTTTAACAAATCTATTTAAGGTATGAATTAACAATTCTGTTGATAACTTTATATCACTTACTGTTTTTTTAAATGACTGATTTCTAAAATACTTGTATAAGTTTTATGTTTAACAAAATGGTCTGAAAGTTTATTTGATTGGTAATATAGAGAGCAATATTTCTTTTGAAAATTTTCAAACTGAACTATAAATAAGAAAATGTTATAATGAATTTTTATATATGTATTTTACACATTTTAACAGTTACCAAAAAGGTAGAGGGGTGTGTGTGTGTGTGTGTGTGTGTGTGTGTGTGTGTGTGTGTGTGTAAACATTAGAAAGCAAGTCCCAGTTCTTAATACCATTTTACGCATAAGTAACTAGAGGGTATAGAGTATAGCCCCATTTTTATTTGACTATATAAAGATTTTAAATGGTACATCATTTTATAGTAGCAGGCTATTTTCGGAAACATTTTTATTTGCTGTTTAGGAGAATCTTTGGCATTAAAAGGAGATAGTTACCTTTTTTCCCCAATTGATGGAAGTTCACTCTAGTCACAGAGTTAGTTATAAGTATAAATAAGGAAGCCAGGCCTCAAACCCAGAATAAGTTGTGCTAACTATAGAACAGCTATTCAGTGCATATTGTCTACAATGGAGAGTGTATACCACAGGGTTTTTCTTGGTTGGCATCTTTTGTTGATGGTATATTTTTAGTTAAGAAATCTTAGCCAGAGAGCAGGGAAATATATTAATTCTCTGGTGGTGTCTTGTCACTGAATTGTAACTGATTTACTACCTTTCTTCCTTTTAAAATCTATTTATACTCAGCAATTTAAATTTCACTAGTTCACTCACATTCCTAAGAGTTGTACAACCATGTCCACAATCAACTCCAGGATGTTTCTCCTGCCTTGTTCATGTTGTTAATGCTCCATTTCCCCTCCCGGATCCCTTTGGAACTGTTCCTCCAGTTCTCTCTGTAGGCTGACCTGTGCTGGGTTTCGTACAGAGAAAAACAGAATATCAAAACAGAACAGCAGGCATCCCAACAATGGCAGAGTAAAACAAAAACCACCATTGAAACTAGAGTCTGGGCTGCAGCAGCAGTCAAGATAACATTATCGAGCATGAAGTAAATAAGAAACAAATGTTTTCTGGGGAAGAAAATAAGACCCAATACCCAACCCTCCCCTAAAAAAGAAAAGTCTGCTGCTGTTTAGATAGATGCCGGTACTTCTCTGTGCTAAATATTGCAGACCTGAATGTTGGTCAACAGAATCTCCACGGAGAACAGACTATCAGCAAAAATGAATGGCCCAGGGAATCCTGGAGGCAGTGCCTGTCCCGGAGTCAATTGGATCTTGTCCAAGGGTGGCAACATACTGGAATTTGAACTGGTTTCTCTTCTGAAAAAAAAAAAACAAACACAAAATTAAGAGTAGGAAAGTACACTCATAAACTCAGAATTTTCACTATTTGTTCACTAACAGAAATTATTAAAGAATTTGTGACATCTGCATAATGGGAAATTCCATAGTAAGTCTTTTTTTTTTTTTCATAGTAAGTCTTACTCCTAAAAAAAAACCCCAACAAAGTAGAAAACATTAAAAACTAGAATAATCATACATTGGATCAAGAGAGATCAAATAACAAAAGTGTCATATTTTGACCCAACTAAAATTGCAGAAATCCACCCTACAATGTGGTCAATCTGATAACAAGGCCTTGGCCATCCATCATAGAGGGAATTAACATGAGGCTTAATCTGCGTGGAAGACCCTGCAAGTGAGTTTTAGGCTTTCACTGTCATCCATAGTCAAATTTTCAAAATCAGTGTTCAGAATTTAGACTCTCAACTCTAACCAATACTGTTCCCTTCTCTAGCTTTGGTTTTTATTATTTACAATTCTGGGATCACATAGGCTGGTGTGCTTCTTGTGTGCAGACTTAGCCAGCATCCTCATTTAGGTGGCTGCTTGTTTGAAGACAAGTCTTTAAGACAGTATGCTTGGTGATAGCTGGGCACCATCTGATTTCTGCACTACACTTTCCTAGAGCACCCCTATCTTCAGTGACCACTTCATTTGGGGGCAGGCATTAAGCAAGGCCATGTCATAAGCACTTAACTGTTCTTAGATTAGAGCCATGATGAAGTCTGAGTTCAAAATCCATTCATAAGCCTATGGTATATATATATGGTTCACTTTAAAGGTGTTACTATTTTGTAGAAGAACATTGTGAATTATCCCCATGAGGGGATATGGTAATTCTGTTGATATTAATATTAATCCCAATGGAGGGATTGCCTTTCTTGAGGCCAGCTTGGCATTCATTGCATTAAGAACAACTTTAACCATATTTTTCTCCCAAACCGACAGCCACTGCCGTTAGGTTAATTCTGACTCATAGCAACTGACAGGACAGTAACACTGCCTCATTTTTCGCCTTTGTAGCAAGTAGTGGGTTCAAACCACCTAACTTGGGGTTAACAGCCTAATGCTTACCCCACCACCAGGGCCCTTTTTGAAATAACATTTGATTGTCTTTTACTAGTGTGCACCAAGTTTCTGGAGTCTTTTACATGTATTTTCTCATTTAGTGTTCACACCCTCTGTGAAGTAGGCATTGTTCTCACATTACAGGTGAGAAGACTCAGTAAATTAGAAACTTGTTCGAAGGAGTGTTCTTTATCACCAATGTCTAGGTTTTACTTCTTGTCAGTCTAACAAACCTGTGTTCATAGCATTCTGTGTTACCATGGAGTATACTTCTAGAATTTCTGGCTAAAGTAAATATGTATGCATAAAGCTTTTTGTATCAGTGTCTTTATCACAGAATAATGAACAATTGAAAACACCCTAAATGGCAAGTGGCAGAAAAATTATTTAATGAAGACATTTATGAAATTTGATGAGTGTGTGTAGAGAGAAGCGGGGTCTCCAGCACACTGAAACTATGTTCTTAAATCCTTTCCCAAGGCCACCATTGAACTCTGCAATACCCATGCAAATGATGTCTCTGCCCTGAGGATCCTTTTTTCTTCCCTGATTCTGATCTCAAAACTATTCTATAGTTTAAACTTTCAGGTAAGCCTTACTCTTTGCTTTTGTTTTAAGCTTTAAGGGCATACAATTCACATATTATAAAATTGAATTATTTTAAATACCTTTAAGAAAGAGTTGTGTAATCATCACCACAATGATTTTTGAGCATTTTCTTCATTTCTTGTGCCCATTCCTTCTCCAACCTCCCCTGTTAGAACCCTAAGGAAAATTACTCCAGTTACTGTCTCTATAGCTCACCTCTCATGGATTCCATATAAAGAAAATCATGTTTAAAAAGACAACAAAATTAAGTGACAACAACAAAACAGATAAACTTGAGTCCCAAAGAAAGCAGAAGATGTAGACACTAGAAAAAATTAAAGATGAGTCAAAGGTTGCTTTTGATTCCTGATCTCTATTTGATAAAAAGACATTTTCACCTCAGTTGATTTTTCTGAAATTAAAGCAATTAATATTTTCCAAATCCTTCATTCTTTAAAAATTATAATTGAGTGTCAATGCTAGAATCGCAAAGAATTATAACTAGGGTATGTATTATTAAAACTGCATTTCATATAAACGTATTACTTCGCTGTAATTATTAGAGTTGTGAAAAGATGTTTCGCAGGAAAATAGCAGGCTCTTATATTCTAGTAGATTTGGGAAACTATCCCAAGTTACCTTTTTACAGTGTCACTCTATAAACCATTGCAGGGATCCCATTTCTTAGGCCCTCTTAGTCATTTATCATCGGAGAAACCATGGTTTGATTAGAACCTTTGTTACAAGGAACCAAAAGAACCCGGGTGGCTAGCTTACTCATAGACCTAATGGCAGTGTTCAGGAGAAGAGTAGGTGAAGAACAAGGCTTTAAAAGGGATAAAAATCAATGTATTTTCAAGGAAAAGGTCACAGTGTTAAGGAGAAAATGCTTGGTCACCCTGTTGCTCTGAGCTAGTACCCTCTAATCATTCTCTGTGTTCTTGAATCAGTATTTTTTTTTTTTAAGGTTTGAACAGAAAGTGTATTTATTCAGGGGGTGCTTTGGAAGAGTCATTAAGATTCTGAGAAGAGTAACTTTATTGGCTCAATCTAGTCCACCAAGTGGCAGGAACAGGGGGGGGCTTTTCCTTGTAAACCCTCCCGAGAAGACGGCGCTCCTCAGTTGGAGCGCATTCTCAGTGGAAGGAGGAGGGCTCAGGGCATGAGCGTGGCTCATTAGTTCAGTTGGACAGCAATCATTCTCAGAATTGTCCCTTAATCCTCTTGTTTTGGTCTGGTTTTGCTTATCCCCTACTGAATTCTGCTTTTAAGAAGTTGGTAAAACAAGGCGTTTCTTGAGCATGGTCAAGGAACCTGAAGGAGACATGAAGTTTGCCCTCAGAGGGCTTGTCCCCAGGAGAGGATTAAGACAGAAAGGAAAGGCAATTAGCACCGAGTTTTCAAAGGTAAGACTTCATACAATGTTAGCAGACCTTGAAGAAATAAGTGAATTAAGATTAAGACAAGGAGTAGAGGTGGGTAACATTTGCTGGGAGTTGGGGTGCGGACGAGGCCTTGGTGAAAAGTTAGTAAACCAGTGTTTATTTTTTAGGATCTCCCTGAATTTTTTGAAGATAATATGGAAACTTGGATGAATAATTTTCATACTCTCTTAACATTAGACAATAAGCTTCTACAAACTGATGTAAGTATTGTCAAATATTACCTGAGTAGTTTTTTTAGATTTTTTTTTTTTTTTTTTTTTTTCAGAATTCTTGAGTGCCCCTAGGAGCTTTGGTGGACATTGTCAGTTATGCATTGAGCTGCTAACTGCAGTCGGTGGTTCGAAACCACTGGTTACTACAAGGGAGGATGAGACTTGCTACTCTCACACAGAGTTGGAGTCTCAGAAACCTGCAGGGCTATTCTGCCCTGTCCTTTAGGGTTGAGATTGATTTGAAGGCACTGAGTCTGAGTTTTAGGTACCCTTGGAGGTTAGCAGTTCAACTTTAGAGAATTAGATTAAAAGTTATTTGAAATTATTTAGTATTAGTGACTTAAAATTATTCATAGACAAAGACAGGATTCCAAGAATGCCAGTAACACTTGGTTCTGTTGGGTATTCCTGTTTGGTTGTATATAATAAACAGAATCTGGTTGGCTTTGATCACGGTGTATAAATAAGTTAGTTATACCTTTAGTCTGTAAGGTCTCAGTATTCACACTTATAAAACAGGCCAGATTTGACCTGTAGACTGTAGTGTGCTGTTAGAAATTGATGTTAAATCTTTTATAACCTATTACTAAGAAAATAGCAAAGTGTCTGGTATGTAATTGATTGCGCATCTTGATAATTTTTTAGGGCTGGGATACAGTCACATATCTTAACATATTTGGGAAACGGCAAGACAAGTAACCATACTACAAAGGAAAATGATGTGCTTTTTATGTTGTAGGGTTTTCCAGGTCTCTGTAGGAATATGCCACTTTCAGTTTGATATTTTATAAGCTAGCAACCAGAAGGCAGGGCTTTATTTAATTTTAAAACTTTTGAGAACAGTTCTTCAGTGATTAAGAAAATTTGACTGTTTCATGTTTTATGATTGAGGGGTAGGGCAGCATGGCAAGTAATTATGATCACGTACTTGGCTTTGGATTTACAATTTAAAGAGTCTGTTTCAGGAATTGCAGCCAGTGCTCCATGTCTATAGTTGCCTTACAGTTAGGGTTTTCTGTGTTTTCTTATGTGAGGATGAAGAGGAAGCAGGTTTACTGGAGCTCTTAAAATCCCAGATTTGTGATAATGCTGCACTCTATGCACAAAAGTATGATGAAGAATTCCAACGGTACCTGCCTCGTTTTGTCACAGCCATCTGGAATTTATTGGTTACAACAGGTCAAGAGGTTAAATATGATTTGGTAAGCTGATGGAAACCAGCAATTAAGAGACATTCTCTTCCCATTTCCCCGAAGATGTAACACTAGTTTTTTGTGCTTTGTTTTTATTTTTTCTTCCAGTTGGTAAGTAACGCAATTCAATTTCTGGCATCAGTATGTGAGAGACCACATTATAAGAATCTGTTTGAGGACCAGAACACACTGACAAGTATCTGTGAAAAGGTTATTGTGCCTAACATGGAATTTAGAGGTAATTATGGCAGAGGTTAAAACTTTTTTAGGGCATGAAAAGCTCTCTGTTTTTTTTCTTTTTTTAAGTTTGTTAGTGTAAAAGCCAATGTTTTGTGTCATTTATCTTGGTAACATATTTGGCCTATTTTAATTGGTAAATAAAACCTCCTTTGGGTCATTTACTTCCTGTCTTCTAAATCTACATAGACACTGTAAAAGGCATGTGTAAAACAAGTATTTATGTAGAGAGCTCATATGTACTGTGGAGATATTTGTCAAGGAGATAATGAGCAAGAGTTTAGAAATCCTGTTAACTTTTATAGAAGTAAACGGGTATCAATTTAGAGAATGAAATTGGTTTTGCTAGATCTAGTAGATCATTGTGACAAGAGTGGCAGTGAGTGCCCACTTAGTCTGTACTGAGATTATAATGGTCCTGAGAGCCTAGCGTGTACTAGGATACAGAAGGGTACAGAATATCCTTCCAATTTCTTAAGAGTTGGGAGGAGCAGTTGAAAGGACTGGTCTTTATCCGGATGTTACCTTTTTTTCTTCTTTTTTTGGTGTTGAAATGATTGCTATGAAATAATAATAATGTGGTTTTTAGGTATTCTTTTCTTTTTTTTAATGTTGGGGTTTTTTTTGTTTTATTTTTTAATGTTTTTATCTGGCAAACTACTATGACGGCACCCTTAGGTTAGTTCCAACATTTGCTTTTTACTATTGGTTGGTGAGATCTGACTCTGGGACCCTGCCATCTCAGAAGTGATCCCACATCACAGCTGCTGAAGTTCCGAATACTCTCCAGGCGTGCTGATGAAATGTCAGGCAGTGCGTTGATGGGACAGCACAGTACGTGCTGCTGTAAAGACGTTTTGTACAGTTGTCTGCGTACTCGTAAAGTGCACGTCAATAACTTGTCATGGCTTTGGGGAGGTGTCTGAAATATCAACTTTCTTTGTAGCTGCGGATGAGGAAGCATTTGAAGATAACTCCGAGGAGTATATCAGAAGAGATTTGGAAGGATCTGGTGTGTATTTTGGTTTCTAACTGTTAGTGTCTTAGCAAGCCAGCTTTAAAATTGGCCTCCTTCTAGTAACTAAGAGAAGTAGTGGGTGTTGGGTACGGGGTCATCTCAGCTGACTTTCTTGTAGAAATGGAAGTACCCATCTTCTGAAAGCTACACCAAATTACCAAAGTTCAAATCATTTCTCTCCCCTTCCTTGTGTACTTGTGTTTCTCACCTGACTACTGTGACCTCTTTGTTGTCTCACTGCTGTCTTGTGGGCTCAGAGGGATGCTCTTTTCATGGATTTATGTTGTGGATACTATCAGATGGCAGGTTGTTTTCTTACAAACTTACTCAATGGTTAGTGGTGGATTTTTTTCTCCCATGATGATGTTTCCATTTGGTTTTGTAGATATTGATACTAGACGCAGGGCTGCTTGTGATCTTGTACGAGGATTATGCAAGTTTTTTGAGGGACCCGTGACAGGAATCTTCTCTGGTTATGTTAATTCCATGCTGCAGGAATATGCAAAAAATCCATCTGTCAACTGGAAACACAAAGATGCAGCCACTTACCTCGTGACGTCTTTAGCATCAAAAGCTCAAACACAGAAGGTGATTCTTTCCCATTTGGCTTATTTTTCTAAACAACTTTATCAGAAGTTAAGATATAGCTTGTGCTACTTGATAACCAGATGCAATGTAATTAATTCTGATTAGAATTTAAGTAATTTCCAGAGTGATTTTATGTTGATATGTTAAAAACTTACATTTGTTGTCGACCTAAAATGGACAGGTTCCACACTGATTTCATCAACTGAGATCAGTGTGTAAACCATGCTGAACTTAAGCGGTGTGTTCGTCTTTGTCTTATTCAGATCGTCTTGTTTTTATACTTTAGCAGTTTGGGTTCCAAAATGGTCATCTTCACTTTTAATGTCATTTTCTCAAGTTGTCTAGAGTTCTGTGTGGTGGATTCATAGACATACATTCATCATGATATTTTACCCGGCTTCAATTTTTTTTTCCCCCCAGCATGGGATTACACAAGCAAATGAACTTGTAAACCTGACTGAGTTCTTTGTGAATCACATTCTCCCTGATTTAAAATCAGCTAATGGTGAGTTTTGCTGAAATATTTTCTTGAATACAACTGAGCAACCTTCATACTGGAGGATAAAGGACATTATGACAGAGTTGTAATAAGGGCTCCACACAACAAGGATGCTCAGAAAATTGACTTCTGTTCTTGTTGCAATTATTTATTTATTTGTGTGAAGTTTTCTACCGCAAAATTGTGCCTTGTATAGAAATAAAATATTGTGGGGGAGGGAAGGAAAAAGGAGGAGCTGATATCAAAGGGCTCAAGTAGAAAGACAATGTTTTGGAAATGATGATGATGGCAGCATATGTACAAGTTCACGATATAATTAATTTATGGATTGTTATATCTATAAGAACCCCCAATAAAATGATTTTAAAAAGAAAAGAAAATAGAAACACATGGACTTCAGCTATAACTCACTTTTATTTTAGTGTGTGTATAGTGTAGCACTTTAGTTTCCTTTTCCTTCTCACTTGGAAAATTACCTCTTAGAAATAGAGTTAACAGTCAGGGTGCAATGTAGCGATGATGAGAAATAGAACTTTCCTCTAGTTCCTAAATGTTTCCTCCCCGCTCCCACTACCATGACTCGAATTCTATCTCGCAGGACTGGCTAGACCAGAGGAGGTACACTGGTATAGATGGGAACTGGAAATACAGGGAATCCGGGACGGATGAGCCCTATAGGACCAGTGGTGTGAGTGGCGAAACAGGGAGGGTAAAGGGAGAATGGGTAGGAAGGAGGGAACCGATTACATGGAACTGTGTGTGACCTCCTCCCTGGGGGACAGACAACCGAAAAGTGGATGAAGGGAGACGTCGGACAGGGCAAGATATGACAAAATACCCATTTATAAACTATCAAGGGCTCATGCGGGAGGGGGGAGCGGGGAGGGAGGGGAAAAATGAGGACCTAATGTCGGGGGTTTCAATGGAGAGAAAATGTTTTGAGAAACGATGTACAAATGCGCTTTACACAATTGATGTGTGTATGGATTGGGATAACAGTTGTATGAGCCCCTAATAAAATGTTAAAAAAAGAAATAGAGTTAAATCTCAAAGTATTTATGACTAATAAGTATTAAGGCTCTTTTCCAATACATCAAGAAGATGCTTCCAAAAATTTATAGTTACGTGTCTCTTCACATTTTTCTTCATGTGGCCCCATTTTTTTCCGGAGAAGGCCCATTCTTGTCTGTGAGAATGCACTATCAAAACCTTAATCCATAAAAGTTTATTTCCACTATTTAAAAATAAAAATTAAAATCATGGTAAAATTCCATGAAAAGCTCATGGAATTTCTTCACCAACTTTTTGAAGAATCTTCATATACATCAGATATGTTTTAACATTTTGTGTGGAAATTTTGAAATACACTCAAAAGTAGAATGTTCAAAGCACGGCCTTCTTACTCTCAATTCCATGTTACTGCCGTGGAACAAGACAAGCAGTTGACCAGGGTTCTTTCCACCAGTAGAGCACTTTCAATGGCTCTACTATATGTATGTATGGTTAAGAATCATACATTAGCCACTCGATCTAAAGTTCACAGCTTCTCGGGAGATAGGTGGGTCAGCCTGCTTCCATACAGATCCCAGCCTGGGAGACCTCACAAAACAGGGTTGCTGTGAGCCCCCAGCGATTAACAGCCATAGGATATTGGGGAGCAAGTCACTGTGTGAAAACACATGGTCATTTGTAATGAAAACTAAAGGCAAGATTGGAGAGTTAATGGCTAGATGGTCAAACATTTTTGGACATTTTGGTTGCTTACCAAAAGTATTGTTTTTAATCTGATAGTATTGTTACTAGTTTGACAGTAGCAATCTGATTAACTGGCTTAACACTTAAGTAACTATGACTTTTTTATTCTTTTAATAGTGAATGAATTTCCTGTTCTTAAAGCTGATGGTATTAAATATGTTATGATTTTTAGAAATCAAGTAAGTACTTTTGTAATTGCCTTACCTGCCACTTGTCACATACATGTTTAACAGCTGCCTTCTTTCATTATAGGACTATGCCATGTCTATATCCTATAGGTGGTTTTTTAAAATTTCTTCAATTTTGAAATTACTGTTTTGATGTCTTTGTCAGTATTTGTCAAGGTCACTGTGCTATGTAACCTTGGCCCATTATTTTCAAGATCCAGTTTACTGACAATAGAGACTCATTCTTATTTTTCCGCTATTTCTTTTGAAAGAGAAAATGAGGCACAAAGATCTCAGATGACTTTTCCTAGAAATGCCTGAGTGCAAAATGTCTATTCTGAACCTTGCATTACTTAATCTGCTTGTCCTTATTATCTTACTGCTTATTTACCCTAATGATGATTCGCCAAAAAGTAACTGATAAAAGGGTGAATTGAATCATGCAATGATGTTGATGTATAAATTGCTCAACATAATTGTGTTCCAGTTTAACAAGAGCTTTTAAAAAGCCAACTGTGAAATAAATAGCAAACCCTTTGTAGTTTATTCTAAAATAGCATTTTTAAAGACTATATATTACTGTATTTTTCAGGTACCGAAAGAGCATCTTTTAGTCTCTGTTCCTCTTTTGATAAATTATCTTCAAGCTGAAAGTATTGTTGTACATACTTACGCAGCACATGCTCTTGAAAGACTGTTTACCATGAGAGGACCTAACAACGCCACTCTGTAAGTATTTGGTACTAAGCCGTTTGTCCATCTATTGAACTCTGGGTGGTGGCTGTTTTATCCTGTGTCAGGGGTGTTTGTGAAGAGACCCATAATATAATTTGTGGTAAGGAAAACATAATGTGTGCTTTTTACTCAATGACTCTGTCTTCTTCCAAAAAGGATTTGAGGCAGCTTACTCAAAAGTTAAATACATTATGACAGAATAAAATTAAGTACATGAAGAAATTGAGCAAAGAAAATTAACTAGAGGAGGTAAGATTAATAAAAAGAAAATATTGTCTCAAAAGATTCTGTACAATATTTATAGAAGTGACTGAAATTCTATTAGAAGTTTCCTAGCAGTTAATACAAAAAAGAAAATTTGAATTAAAATATGCATAATGTCCATGCGATTTACAATCAAAGCTGTTCCTCAAAAAGGATCCGAGAAGGGGGTCTTCGGGAAGGGAACATTTCCAACACAATCGTGTAGCTCTGAGTTTCACGTGGCCGCTTTTGTGTTCTCACTCAGCGCTGAGAGAGGGCACAGCTTCCTTAGCAGCCAAAAAACAGCCCTCCTGATCGGACCCGAGGGAAAATGTAGTGGCCTGGACGGTCTGCTTGTCCACGGCAGTGTACCTAGTTGAAACTTTGCTATGGGTAAAAAGATGGACAACAGTTCTAAGTCTGTTTTCTTACCAAGGACCTGAAGTGGCCAATTAAGGGTTTAAGAAGAGGACATTCCTTGAGTTGATTCAAAGACCAGAATTCATGCAGAAAACACTTCTAAATGTGCTCTAACTGCAGAAAAATTTAGGCATAAACCTTTGCAGATTTGAAGAATGTTGGGTTTTTCTGGTTTGGGGTAGTTTGGTTGTATTTTGCCAGATTTACCACCTTTGTGCACTTGGCACAAGCAGTTAAAGGAGCCCTGGTGCATTGTGGATTAAACATGGCTGCTAACAGGAAGGTCCAGAAGAAAGCTATGGCGGTCTGCTTCTGTGCAGATGTGCAGCCTCAGACCCCGGGGAGCAGTTCTACTCTGTCCCGTAGGGTTGCTGTGAGTTGGCGTCAACTGGACAGCACTGGGTGCGAGAGCTCTGTTTCCCTATGCTGTCTGCCAGTACCAACACAGTGCACCACATGGTGGGAGATGGCTCACTGTTAGGCTGAGAAGTGTGGTTTAGCACTGCCAGGGATATTGTTAGTTGCCAAGGGTACCTCACCGGGACAAGTTCAAGAGGTGGTAGTGACTGAAAGCTGTTTTTTCATCTATAGCTTTACAGCTGCAGAAATTGCACCGTTTGTTGAGATTCTGCTAACAAACCTTTTCAAAGCTCTCACACTTCCTGGCTCTTCAGAAAATGAATATATTATGAAAGGTAGGCCGTTCCCCTGGTGTACAGACTGTAATTAAGTATCATATCTTGGTTTGCAAAGATAAACATTTTGAGGTACATAGTCTATGAACCATGTATTATTCGCCCAGAATTAGGCAGGCTGAGCTATTTCTAAATGGAAAAATACAACTTTCTTTGTGTTGTATGTCTGATCCTTTTTAGCTTGATAGAGAATCCACATTTTAGAAAAGGCAGCATGCTTTGTTCTCCTATATTGAATTCCTTGAGGGCAAGGGATAGATCACGCAACACCCATTTATTGAGTCCCCCCGTGCTGTGTCTTGGTGAGTCGTGGTTGCATCCTCCGGGCTCCACATGGGTCCACAGGTTTTGTCTTCATGCACTAGCAGTGTTAAGACCTAAAGGACAGTCTCAGTCTTACTGTTGCATCTTACAGGAGACACTGCAAAGACACAGTCCCTTGCCCCAGAGTCCAGTTTGTGTGGTTGTGCTTGGCATATTACTTCTCTCAGCCGTGACGTGTGAATTACTTTTGTGCCATGTCCATTTTGTGTCATGTCCAGTTACATGCAGGCATGTAACTGCTCTGTGGTCTTCAGTGCTTCATTCCTAACGTTTGCAAAAGCTCCTGCTTGTGGTACCTTCCTAGCAAGTGACATTGCGTGAGTGACTCATGAAAGGGGTCCCTGCCAGCCTAGAGCAGGGCAACTTAATTCACCCTCTAACTCTCTCAGATAAGGGTGACTTTTTCTAGGAAGTGGTGTCAGAGCTGAAATATGAGGGTAGGTCCAGTTACTGCATGCCCTCGAGGATAAGCCAACCCAAGTATCACGCAAGGCACCTAATCTTACCACAAAACCTTCATTAAAAATGTGCTGAGCAACTTGGATTATACACGAGTATACACAGTAGTTAGTTATAGGATAGATGCATGAATAAACTACAAGATAACTGTCTAACCCCAGCCTCAGGTACTCTGTAAGCTAGTGTGTGTTCTGTTTGTGGGGGAAGCTAGCATGCATTAATAGCTCACTAATGTGGTTAGGCATCTTAATGAGCCGGTTTTGTGTAGTTTGAATCTCTCTTTGACTTTATATGGATTTTTAGATTTTTCTTAGTTTAATTTCTCTTGGGAAAATACAGCAACATAGCCTTCATTTTTAGTTTCCTGTATGGTGCCATTGTTTGCTCCAGGATTGAAAGAAACACTTGCCTCTGTGCTTTCTAAACTGGTCTTCTTGTCCAATTCTACTATTGTTTCATCCTCCCACGATGCTTCTCTGCCCCACTTCACCCACCCTGCTAGTTCTGTTTTTGCCTCTTAACTCAGATTTTTCTTGTCCGTTTTTTAATTCCTTAAGCCTTGGGCCTTCTGGAAATACTCTGAATATCATTCACATGTATTTAGTTGCCAGCCCCTTCCCTAGTTTTTAGAGGACAGGAAATGTGCATAATGTCTACATTTACATACCTACTTGAAAGCTGGTTAAGCTTCTTAAAAATATTAGTCAGTGGGTTTAATGGGTTCTACTCCTCCCCCATCCCCTGTCTTTTGTTTAGTTCTGAAGTTTAACTGACCTTTGCTTTTGCTGTTTTTGTATTTTACAGCTATCATGCGGAGCTTTTCCCTCCTGCAAGATGCCATAATCCCCTACATCCCGACTCTCATCAGTCAGCTTACACAGAAGCTATTAGCTGTTAGTAAGGTAAAGGCAATTTCGAAAGCACATTTTTTTTTTTTGTTTTAGCTCCTGTTTTAAACTGTTCAGCCCTCAGGATTCTCTGGCATTAGATGAGACTTTGAAGAAAGCCTGTGAATTCATCCTCCTCAAGTGTTAATAAACATTCCCAAAACTGTGGAGATAGTTTTAGATTGGAAGCATGTGGTAGTCAATTTTACCTGCAGGATCCGAAATGTTCATGCATTTTTGTTCCCTTTCTAGGAGGAACATGTTCCTTGAAAATTGAGAGCAGTCAGGTCATCGGAGGTTGTGTTGGATGCAGGGAAGTAGCCTGCATCACAGGGGCCCAAGAGGCTGTGCCGGCCTCGGACCTGACCAAGGGGGCCTAGGGCTTTCTTTTTTTCCTTACACTTATTTCCCAACAGGAAAGTATAATCTTTGGTCTAGAATTTCACACCTAGTTTCATTTATGTCTATATGTTAATAGTAAATGTTAGGAAAATTTAAAAATGTGTTCACAGCTGACAAAATTTTCTTTTAGAGACTTAATCCTAATTACTCTAGGAAATTGAGGTGAAAGCCCAAAACATATTAGAGGGCCCTTGAAGGACAGTAATCTTAGAATGTGGATCCTGGGGAGCACTTCCGCTCCCTACTACCCACACCCATCCAAGTGCATACCTGTTCTCATCTTAGGACTTAACAGCTTTGTAGAGTACCCTGCCAAGAAGATTTTTATTCAGAAGGAACTGGATTTTGTTGCTTAAAAAACACAATTTGGAAGCCTCTGCAGTGTACAGCATCACTCTAGGTACTGACACTGAGGGCCAGAGGACTTCCATATGCCACAGCCCCACCTCCCAGGGCTCATGACCTGGCCCACCGTCTACTTGTCTCTTCCGCCAAATGCTGACTATAAGATAGTCTAACAGCTCTGGGAACTGAAGATGGCCATTCCTTACTTGCGACTCAGACCTTTACTCATTAAAAACAAACAAATACTAAAGAGGATTTTTTTTTTTCCAATCGGTTTAAAACTTTAGCACGTGTATAATCTCATGGCACTGATTTTTTTTTCAAATTTATCTAACATTTATTACTTGAAGAATCTGTGCCATTACAAGGGATCCACACCATATTATATACTCAAATAAAATAAATAGTAACCAAACTGACATAGCAGAGTCACCTTGCTGTAGGATATGTTAAGGAAGTCCTATTACACTGAAAGCTTATAATACGGTCCATATATCTTCTTATAGGAGACATTCTCTTCACAAAGAAGATGCTAATTCATTCATATTGGAATTCAGTAACATTCCGTTAGTAGTGTTGCTGTTTTGTTTTTTTAAGTTGAAACTACGATGGCAAAATACAAAAGTGGCTAATAGTTTTGATCTTTTCTGAGATCATACCCTGGAATTAAACAAAGAGGGTTTAGCTATGTCCAGCTCAAAAGCATACTTCTTTTCCAAGGATGACTGACCGACTGATATCACCCCTGAAAGCAGAATCCCAGCCACCAATCTGAAAGGGCTAGGGCTCAATGAAGAACACAGAAACTGATCTGCCTCAGAGAAAAGGAAGCAAAAATCAATGTCAGCGTTCTTAAATCAAATAGAATTTTAAAATGCAATGTTTAAAATTTTACCCGAGCTATGGATATTTTGTATAGTCTGTAGTAAAATACTGCATTCCATCAGTCTAAGTTGTATTTATAAATGCTATTCTTGGTGCTGAAAATAGGTAAACTAACTCAAACAGAACAAAGTGGTAGCAATTACATATTTCATAAAAATCTTTGGTGAGATGCTATAGTAAAAATGTCTTACAATGCAGCTTTTACAAAAAGTATGAAGACACTAATGGTGGTAGCATCTATTAAGTAACCTTCACAGATGGAACACAGGTATACGGGTCAGCTCAGAGAGGTGCTCCTCCTCATATTCCAACTCCGGTCGGCCCCCCTTCAGCCTTAGTGCGAACTGGCTCGACTCTTCCTCCTCCGCCTCCTCCTCCTCCTCCAGCTCCAGCTCCTCTTCCTCATCTTAGGAGCTGCCCGCAGGCGCCCCAGGCGGCGCTCAGGCAGCAGGTGGGGGAGCCCTTTTTTTTTTCTTTAAAGTGTTGATCAGAAGGAAATTGTTATCTTTAATTTTTTCCCCTCTTTCCTGTTGGATGTGTTTTCATCTATTTAGTTGCTTGGATGATTACAGTAATTACCTTTTTGTTATTAAATTTCAGAATCCAAGCAAACCTCACTTTAATCACTACATGTTCGAAGCAATATGTTTATCCATTCGAATCACTTGCAAAGCTAATCCTGCTGCTGTTGTCAATTTTGAAGAGGCTTTGTTTCTAGTGTTTACTGAAATTTTGCAAAATGATGTGCAAGGTAAGTTTAAAGGAAAGGACACTACCTTCTCTGATGCAATGGAATGACTACAATTGCTGAACAATGCAGCCTGCCTGAGATAATGTGACTTTAAAAGAGCCGTTAATTCTGAAGTTAACAGTTCTGTTTACTTGCATCAACAGAATTTATTCCCTACGTCTTTCAAGTGATGTCTTTGCTTCTGGAAACACATAAGAATGACATCCCTTCTTCCTACATGGCCTTATTCCCCCACCTCCTGCAGCCAGTGCTTTGGGAGAGGACAGGAAACATCCCTGCGCTGGTGCGGCTTCTCCAAGCTTTCCTAGAGCGTGGCTCAAATACGATAGCAAGTGCTGCTGCCGACAAAATTGTGCGTCTGCTTTATTTTGTTGTGTTAGGCACGGTTTTCTAAAGTAGCTCAGAGAAACGAAAGATGACAGGGTTTTGCGTATTTGCCAATCCAACAGGATTTTAAAATTCCTAAATAGTAAAAGAGTAAAATAATTGGTGTACAAAAAAAATCATTTTTTAATTAGGATCCATTATCTTTAGTTTTGTTTTGGAAACTTGGAAATAGTAGTCAAATGAGTAATTTTAGAAACAGGAAGGACTTACTACAGAGCCCTTGGGGGCAGTGGGGGACGCACTGGGCTGCTCACTGTGAGGTCAGCCATTGTCAACCAGGGAGGAGGAGGGTGCTCTCTCATCCTTGTAAGGAGTGAGTTAAGTTACACTTTTGGGAACCCACTTGATCATTCCTACTTTGTCATACAGGGTTGCTATGAGCTAGAATCCACTTGATGGCAGTAAGTTTAGTTTTTGAAGTTGGGAGGTTTGTGATTTGATTTTCGTTGATAAAAACATCTATTTATCTGATTTGTTTATAGCCTGGGTTACTAGGTGTCTTCCAGAAGCTGATTGCATCAAAAGCAAATGACCACCAAGGCTTTTATCTTCTCAACAGTATAATAGAGCACATGCCCCCGTGAGTACAGATATCACCGCATGGTTAAGTCAACCCCAGATTTTCTTTATCCTCGGGAAAAGGCTGTGTTTATATTGTTGCTTTTCCATTCAATTTAGTGAGTCCGTTGACCAATACAGGAAGCAAATATTCATTCTGCTGTTCCAAAGACTTCAGAATTCCAAAACAACAAAGTTTATCAAGAGTAAGTCAAATCGTTCGGGTGTTCTACAGAAATGGAAAGAGATGGTCATTCTTAGCTTGCCAGGGTGGCTGTAGGGATGTACCCCACACAGGGTGGCTGTAGGGATGTGTGCCCCACACCAGGTGACTGGAAGAGAACCTACTTCCTCTCGGCAGCAGCACGTGAGGCTACAGGGGAAGTGCTGTCCTGGTGTCTTTCACGTTCGTAACCATGGTGTTTCTTAGTGCAGAGGAAGCCTCACATACTGTCTTACCCTGTGTGTGAGACACTCGTTTCCTGGTTTGTTTCCCTACTGCAACCTACCACTCCTCTCAGGCAACCTAACTGGTAACGTGAAAATGCATTTCAATATGTAACAGACTTTATGGTTAGGTCATCTTTTCATTCGTTGTAAGTATTAGGTATAAAATATTTTTATTTCCCAATTATGAGGGTTTATTAAAGAAGTTAACCGGTTGTAAAATGGTAAAGATACAGTTGTATTGTTCGAAGCTTCTCTGCTCAACCATGCCAGTAGGCGAGTCTCTGGTCCTTAGCTAGTTTGCCATGTTACTTCTTGTACATGGGCCAGAAAGCCCGCGGTGTATTTTAAATGCTTGTAGTCTCCAACTATGGAATCCCAACTAGATGCATTATGTTCTTAAAGGTTGGCTTAGGTAAGGTAAGCATTTTTCTAGTACAAATAATATTAGAAGGCAAGTCACTGATCATTGGTAATTGAGTGTAACAATAGCGAATGTTTGACTTAGCAGAACGTACTTATCCATGCTAAGACCCAAACCTTTATACTGACATTCAGTATCTTCTTTCAACAGGTTTCTTAGTCTTTATTAATTTGTATTGCATAAAATATGGAGCGTTAGCACTACAGGAAATATTTGATGGCATACAACCTAAGTAAGTATGATTTTATTTCATATTTATGAAAGGCAAAAAATATTTGACCTCTCTTGCTAGTGCAAACTAATGATCTGTTTTACAGATGATTTCATGGTACTTGGCGCAGTGATAATACCTTTGTGATCTCTCTCCCTCCCCCCCTACAAAAAAACAAACAAACCACTTTTGAGATCCTTGTAACAATGTTCCAACTCCCAAGGCCCCTCTGCCCTTCCTGCATGGTGCCCCACCCTTGGCAGTAAGTACTCTGTCACAGGATTGGTGACACTTCCAAGGGCACGCTTTTTCCCCAGGCAGCAACTTGTGATCAGGATGAGAGGGTCTGAACCAGGGAAACTTTTGCTTTTTCCTGTGTTGACTCATGCGGATGTCAAAAGTGTCCCTAGATGTCGGTTTGCATGGGGGCGGAGGGTGAAAAAGACACTAGAAGACCATTCCTGGGGGATAGAAGTTCACCTTAGATTCTTGTAAAGGGTTTTTTTATATAAAAATACCCCCACGTCATACCTGAGAACGTGTGTTCCAGCAGTAGGGAACCTCAGGGATTTCGGCAGTCTTAAGCACTACCAGTGGGAGCTTAGATTGACGATTCTGTTCTCTAATTTCTAAGTTTTCGAGGATTTGGGTGCGGTGGGGGGGTTGTTGCCATTTGGAGACGTGTGGCTCTGGATAGCCTCCTCGAACACGCGCAGGTGATCGATACTGTGACCGCATTCACAGCAGATGGCACTTGGCCACGGGAGATGTTTGTTGTTTTCTCATGTCTGTGGGTCTCAATGTGCTTTAGTTGCTTATTAACAAGGAAAATCACTGAGTGTAAATAACATCACAAGTATTTCACTAATTATAGCATTAAGTGGATTTATTTTGTATTAATAGAATGTTTGGAATGGTTTTGGAGAAAATCATTATTCCTGAAATTCAGAAGGTGTCCGGAAATGTAGAGAAAAAGATCTGTGCAGTTGGCATAACCAAATTACTAACAGAATGCCCCCCCATGATGGACACCGAGTACACTAAGCTGTGGTAAGTACCCCCCGCTGAAGTTCGGGGATCACTGCCCTCTCCCTCCTGACGGCAGAATGAACCAAATGTAGAATGGCAAAGAAAATTGGGTTCTGATTACTGCTTCCCATTAGTAGTTCTAACGTAGATCGGACTGTGGATCCTCTGGGCCTAGAAAGATCGTGTTCGTGGTTCATAACTTTGGGGGGGGCGGCGGTCATGGGCCCCTTTGTGATTGTCAAAAGTGGTGTAGATATTTAAGACTCTTCTTGAGTGCGTGAAGCACAACCAACCTGGCTCCTTTTTTATGAGCGGAAAGCAGCACTCAGCAGGACCGGCATCCTGGTTCAGGCTGTCAGGAGCGCCTGCCTGGCTGCTCTCCACCGAGGCTTCTCCTTCCCTTCTCTTGGTCCTGCTTGTGCAGCCTCTGCTCCTGCTGTGAGCTGGCCACTGGAGCCTTCCACTTTCTAACTTAAAGTATTTCCCCGTCTTTAGCGAAGGCTAAATCGCACAAAGGAATCCTAGGGACAGTAGTTATGTACTCAGCTGCTAAGCAAAAGGCCGACAGTTCAAACCTTCCAGCTGCTCCGTTCCATGAAGATTGTTTTAAACCCACTGCCATCACAGTAGATTCAGGCTTACCGAGACTCTCTGTATACAGTTTTCCAGGACTGTACATCTTTCTGGAAGCACACAGCCTCATCTTCCTCCCAAGGAAGTTTTGAGGGGTTTGGACCATTAGCCTCGTGGTTAGCAGTGCAGCACTTACTTGACAGTGCTGGACTTAAAGGTGTGGTGCCGTTCTGGTCAGAATGGACTCCACAGAAATTGGTCTGTCCTGATTTTGAGGGGACGACAAGTCATTTCCCAAAGATAGGTGTGGGTGTTGTGCTGAAAACGTGACAGGTGGTGTCTGAGAGACATTAGGCACGGGTATCTAAATTTCAAAGGTTCCTTTGAAACAGAATGTAAGTTTTGGTTCTTGTTTTAAACCATGTTATTGATGTGTACAATACAATTCAATAGTTTTCATATAGTAAAGAGTTACGCCGCCACCACCACAATTGATGCTGGACATTTTCTCCATTGTGTCCTTTGTCGTTAGCTCTTCACTTCCCCCTAAGCTCCCCTGCTGGAACCCTAAAGTTCTATTCATCGAATTACTATCTCTTTAGATGGAGTTATCCTGGATTGATTTCACATAAAGAAAATCATACCCCCAAACCCTATCAGCACCAACTAAAAAAACCAAAAAGGTCATTTTGTGTATCTTAGGAGGTGCTGTTTCTTGTTGGATATATTTCTTTGCCTTGTGTTCTTCCATTCCAGGACTCCTTTATTACAGTCTCTGATTGGCCTTTTTGAGTTACCTGAAGATAATACCATTCCTGATGAGGAGCATTTTATTGACATCGAAGACACACCGGGCTACCAGACTGCTTTCTCACAGTTGGCATTCGCTGGGAAAAAAGAGCATGATCCTGTCGGCCAGATGGTGAACAACCCCAAAATCCACCTGGCTCAGTCCCTTCACAAGTTGTCCACGGCCTGCCCGGGACGGGTGAGTGATGGCCCATGGAGACGCCCTGCCTCCGTGTCAGCCTTTTCTGTCATCTCCATGTGCTGCAAATACAAACAGATGCTTTTAGGAATAACAAAGGGGTCAGTCTTTGAATACAAATGTATTTTTTTTTCTGAATGAAATAATCAGCTTAGTATAAATGGAAAGAATACATTTTTTAAATGTAGACTTTTTATTATCACACACCCAGGATATTTAATGATGAGACCCAGACCGACCCTACTAATGACTATAAAGTTGCATTCAACCAGCACCTTCTATGGAATCTTACATATTTCTGATTCTCAGTGCTACGTTGTCAGAAAAATTACACACAAAAACAAGAGCACTATTTGTTGTTACATAATTACTAGCAATCTTCCAGTATTGTTTTTTTTTCTCTCCTTCCTCTTAGAAAATTTCAGGACAAGCCATAGACATTGCATCATTTTGTGACTTTTTAACGTAATCATGCTCTTGGCACACTTAGCAACCACGTGGCTCTGCTTTTGGGGGGGTTCAATCCCTTTTTGAAGGCATAGAAGCAGTTGGCCAATGGGGCATCCTGTGATGGGCATTTCCTGCTTTCTGCCACAAACACGGACTTGAGCGGTCTGGGCAGGGTTCCCAACAGCCAGCGCGTGTACCCGATCTCTTGCAGGTCCCATCACTGGTGAGCACCAGCCTCAACGCAGAAGCGCTCCAGTACCTGCAAGGGTACCTGCAGGCCGCCAGTGTGACGCTGCTGTAGCAGCCTCTTCCTGCTGAGCTAGCTCGTCACGCCCTGCGGGTGCCGGAGATGGTCACATTCGCCTCGCAGCGGAGCTGCATTGCCACAAGGAAAGTTTTCTTTTTCAACTCATCACAAATTAAATGTTGCTTTAAGCTGAACCTTGAGCAAATAAGGTGGTCTGTGTGATGGCTAAAAGTGAGTGACGCCACCCCACCCCACCCCCCAATAATCCCCCCAGTCGGTCGTGTCAAGGGCCTCGGCCTGAGAGACCCAGGGTGTGCAGAGCGAGCACTGGCCCGCCACAGCGCAGCCTTTCTGACTCAGCCTTTGTTTGGAGACTACTGCCCTTCATATTTTTCTTGTCTTTGTGTGTTTTCTTAAACTGTCATTGGAATTGTAAGTAAAAAATCATGTATAATTTGCCAACCAGTGCACATTTCACGTTTTAAATCCGTCCTCAGCAATAAAGAAAGCCCTGAAATATGGACGTAAGACCATCTGGAGGCCAAGGTTCGGTGCTCTGTGGTGCCTTTATAATGAAAAGGTGCATTTCTTTCCCTCCTGGGAAGCATAAAATTCCAATTTTGAAACCATTTCATCTCAAATTCAGTGATTTTTGCAAGGTGAAGGGGAACATTAGACGAGGTGTAGGAATTCTTATCTACTGGAACTTTGTACAGCAACTCAGGATTGTGGGCAGGTGGGGGAGGGCCGGTCTAACATCCTGGGCCCTGTGGGAGGAAGTTCAACTATGTAGCTGCTTGATCCTTTCCACAATGTTTTTCTTCCCTCCCTATTGAAAGTTGGAATTCTTCAAACTAGTGCATCTCAAAAGCCTGAGGTGTGAGAGCAATCAAGAGTGCCATTGAGCCCACCCCACCATCGGTGCAGGTGGCTGACACAGTAGCATGGACGCAGTAAACCATACATGACTGCTGTGGGATAAGCACTGCTGGTGGGAGGTTTCTGTGACAGTCTTAGAGTATATCATTAATTCGTCCTGACATAGATGCTGGGTCTGGGGATCAGAGGCAGAACAGAGGGTTGGTGGGAATGCCGTATATGCATCTGGCATGTAGATTTGCTCCTGGCTTGTCAGCTTGGCTTGCTCAGAGGACTTCTAGTTCAACATCTTAGCCACAGGGATTGTTGAAATACTGAAAATTTCCTCCCTGAATAATGAGGAATAGACAGCTCATCTTTGTGTAGTGCCAAGTCAGAGTACCCTTAAAATTAATTCTCAAGCGGGGAAGACTGTGCCCCCTTTTTCTGCTCTAGCACACACAGGTCATTCGTCTCCAGTCCCAGTGTTGTTGCTGTGGGGTTTTTTTACGGTTTACATTGAAACGACTTCTTCCCCTGATCGAGAGACAGATGTGGTTCAGGGGTGAAGCCCGAAGAGTTGGGGGTCTCATAGGCTTCAGTTTGAATGACTGCTCCACCCCCCGACTCTAGCCTGGGGGAACTGGGTACTGCGCTTCATGTTTCTTTCCCTCTTGTGAAAAACAAGCATGATATTGACATGCATCAGCTCCTTGTAGCCTGACAGCTACCCTGATGGTAAAGGACCCACCGAGTGAGTTCTGACGAGTCAGAGCTGTGGTGGAGGGCAGTGCGAGGGAAAGCCCTCTGGAGGACCTCCTGGGGACAGGTCCTCCACCCGAGCATGTGAAGTGCTGGGGAATACCTGCAAAGCTTATCACAGGTCTTGCTGCTGGACCCACTGGTTCAGCCTGTATTACCTATTTTCAATCGAAAGGTGTAATTTATAGGAGACAGATACAAAAAATACGTTAATATGATACATCATTCACAGTCCCACCCACTTTAAGTATTTTGATTTGCTTCTTTCCCCATTATCAAAGTTGTAATTCTGTATATGAATGAGGGGAGGGAGGTCAAAAATTTGGAGGGAAATTTAATTTTCTGTAGGTTTTGAATTGTCCTGAAGCAATTTCATATGTTTGTGTATTAGAAAACACCAATACTTGGTGAACATGGCTTTTCAGTGAGTGCATGGTTTATCATTTGGATCGCATAAATTTGTCATCATTGTTGTTTTATTATGTTATAAATGTTTAAATGAGCATCCTTATACAGTAATCTTGGACGACTTTTCTGATTTGCCAGCGGGTGGAGTCAGGATTGGGTGCTGTTGACATCAGTGCAGCTGCCCGCAGTTTGCTCAGCTGTGGCTTTGTGAAGGCAGTCAGAGGTCTTCCTGGGCCTCCGGGTGGAATTCCTGCGTTAAATTACCTCACAGAAAGGTGCCAATTTATATACATGGCCCACAGGAGGTATTTTCTTTTTGTTTTTGCCAGCATACCGATGATAGCATTTCCTTTTTTAGCTTGTGGGGCAAATCGGTTGTCATTTAACCAACAACATTACATGCACGTGACATGTTTCTAGGGTTTGGTGACAGAGCAGTAAGTTTCTACACAGGCCCTCCCTCCACAAGCAGCAACTCTGAACTAGACTTCAGTTGCTCATGGTTCCGTCCTTATTCTTTGCCAGGTTGACTTAATACATGAATCTCAAAATGCCAGTTCACTCCTTCCTATGGGAAATAGCGAAGTGGAGGGTGAGCAGAAATCATGGGAATGATTGTGAGCATGATGCAGGACCAGACTTGGGTTAGTTAGACATTAGACCTAACTCAGTAGCCACGTACTATTTTTTAAATTCTTATCAATTAATGGTTCCCTTTATCTTTAAATAATCATCTTCACTTTTGTCCCATTAGCTGGTCTGTTGACTGCTCAGTATTGAGGAGGAGGGTGCCACTCCTCCACTCTCCCCCTTGTCCGCTCTGCCTTCACTGATGCTGGGCAAGCATCTGTTCTTTCTGAGCTCTTCTACCGCTGGCCAGCAACAGACAGAACCCGCCTGGGTGGGTTGCTTGCTGTGGGCCGGGCAGTGTGCAGAGTGCTATCGAGTGATTGCTTTTCTCTGGCCGTACCACTTCACAACAGGCTGACCCCTCTGCCCTTTGTGCAAATACCGACTTTCTTGTGTAGTTTTCTCAAGTCTGATTGCTGTTATTTTTCTCAACTAGAAGTCATCCCCTCTGTTAACAGCGCTACCTGGGTTTATTTGTACAACGAACAGCACAAGAAGCCACCAGCACCATGCAGGCAGCAGCCGGGACTCACACCGGTCCCTCTCGCCCTCACGCAGAGAACTCTGCTTTGTGGGAGCCTGCGTGCCTTTGGGAGCTTGAGCTGGAGTCGTGGCCTTGGCTGGAGCGTCACCTTGCTTTGTGCCTGGGCCTTGGGCCGGCAGAGCCTCAGCAATACATGCCCGAGCCCGCTTGCCAAGCTTGGGGTGGGCAATGTAGACCAGTCAGCTGAGCTTGCGGTCGACGCCCATTGGGATCTTGGCCTTGACCTCTGTGGGCTTCACGAGATCCTTGATGGCCTCAGCGCGAGCAGCCGCAGCCTTGGCGTTGTTGGCCTGCATTTTCTTCAGGCCCTTGTGCTTCTTGGCGAAGCGCATGTTCCTCAGGAACTTGGGGTCCACCCCCTTAAGAGATTCGTATCGCTGTGACTGGGGCTTTTTGATGCCGTTGTGCCATTTCGGGGATTGGTTGTGTGTGGTGTGGTTCTTGGACTTGGCCATGCTGCACCGACGCCTCAGCTCCCGGAGCGCCAGGGACCGGAAAACGAAGTCATCTTTCTTTTGTGGACCATGAGGCTAGCTAATTATCAAATCTTTCTGGGTAGCATTAATTCTTCATAGCACTTTCTGAGGTCGCTGGTTTCTGTGGACCATGAGAAGGGCTCTGGCCCCTACCGCAGCTTATGCCAACCAGAATTACTCCTGCTGTTAGCTCATCTGTGACAGCTTACCGCTCACTGTGAAGTGCTTACAAACTCACAAGTACAAGGGGGCTTCAAACCCCACTGCCTCCTAATTCCATTTTTATAAGAACAATTTGAAGCCCCCTTAATACATCCTCTCCACGGAACCTGATCCCCAAACTGCCCAAAGAGCATAGACCCAGTCTCCATGTCTTTGGGCTTCGGCAGCAGGTCTGTAGTCAGGCATTTCTGGAAGGTGCAGAACTCATCGGCTAGATGGCAGGCAGTAAGCAGTGGGCCAGGCAGCCCCACTCCAAGTGGCCAAAATGTAGTAATGATTGCTAAGCACCTTGCAAGTTTCAAAAATAAACACACTACTTAATGCTTTTGCTTCTGTGACAGTCCCTTATCCCACTTCAGAGGGAGCCAGTTGAAAATGGGGTCGGCTGCCCGCCCTCCCTTATACAGCCTGAGCAACGCGATCTTCTGTTCCTTTTCGTAAAAGCTGAGTACTTGCTCCATGACCCGCTTCTTGCTGGAATGTCCTTTGTTTCAGAAACTAGGCATCCCAGGTTCAGCCTGTAAGGAAAGAGGTGACCTCAGGCCCCGCAAGGGAGCACCCTGGGTCCTTGGAAGGACTCATCAGTTTCCATCGCTTCTCTGCTGTGCTGAGGAGCCCACTCACCCCCACCTGTCACCATGCTGGGCTGGATGCACCACCGTAGTAAAGGCATTTCTTCTAAAGTGCCAAAGCATAAGAAAGCATTTACCTGTCTGGGTTTCATATTGGTTGGTGTTGAGGTGAAGGTGAGGTGTGAAAGCACTGTATACAAAAACGGGAGCAGTGGCTGTGAAAGAGTTGGAGACTACTTCCTCCCTGCTGGTAAACAGGGCTGGCTCCTGCTCCTCACAGGAAGTCAGCACTTACGAGTCTGAGGATCTTGGGAAGTTGGGGTTCTGCTTCCAGCACCAGCTGAGAAAACATGTATTGAGAGTCCCACAGAGTCTGCACCTGGAGCCAATAGGGTCAACAGAAGAACTCCTCTGAAGCTGCAAGAGCCACCCCTGCTGTGACTTGTCTCAGCTCAACCTCAGGGTGGGACCTTGAGTCTGCTGTGTACCACCCAGTGGTCAGCCTGTGTGTTGTGTAGAATGGCACCCTCCCGTTTTCCTTAGATGCTGTGCTTCAATGGAATGGAACTCAGAATAAGACTCTGGAGAGTTGCCCTTTCAGGAACTGCTAATAAATGCCCCAAAGGCACTGGGCTCCAGGAGCCTTGCGTCACTGAAGCCAGCTCCCTAAATTAAGTGCCCTGAGCCACCTAACACCTGAAGCCATTTTCCTACCCAAATTACTTGATCTGTGGGCAGGGAAGACCACTCTGGCTGACTAAATGCACTTATCACTGTTGTCTTCTGGGGCTCAGATCTCGGGGTCCAGATGACTTGCCTTACTCCTAGTTCTTGCTAGTAACGGGATCCTGCCCTTCTTATAGGACTTTAGATCCAGGAGGGTGGTAAACAATCCAGTGAATTCTATTAATAGTTAGGGTGAATCTGATTCGTGGTTTACCCCACATTACCAGCTAGGCTCATGCAGGAAAGTGGTTTGGTGGTTGGTGAGTA